ATGAAAATGTGGTCATTAAGCCGGCAGATAAAGGGGGGGGAATAGTTATCTTAAGTAAAGATCAATATGTGAAAGAAGCAGAGAGAATACTCTCTGACACTTCAACTTATCAGAAACTACCTCATAATCCCACTAATGAAACAATCAAAATATTCAAGCGTTATGTAGACAAAGGAAGAGAAATAGGAATATTAACAGATAAAGAAGCTGAATATCTATGGATAGATAACCCAAAAATACCAGTGTTTTATCTCCTCCTGAAAATCCATAAAAATGTAGAAAATCCGCCAGGGAGACCAATTATCTCGGGCATTGATTCAATTTCTACCAGAATTTCAGAATACATCGATACTATTCTCCAGCCTATAGTCACAAAAAATCCTACTTACCTAAAAGACACAATTCACATTTTACAGATTTTGGAAAAAATAGAATGGATACAGGGAAATATCTTGGCCACATGTGATGTGACTTCCCTGTATAGCATCATTCCACATGAGAAAGGATTAGAAGCTGTGAAATATTTTTTAGAAAGATCAGATTTTAAAATGGAACAAATAGAATATATTTTAGAAGGAATTTTACTCATTTTAACCCATAATTATTTTTGGTTTGAAAATTCTTTTTATTTGCAAATTTGTGGCACTGCAATGGGCACAAAATTTGCCCCAAGCTATGCCAATCTTTTTATGGCATTTTGGGAAGAGACATCGGTTTTTACAGAATTACAATGGAAAAGACACCTGATTACATATTGTCGATATATCGACGATATCTTTTTCATATGGAATGGCACTATGGAAGCTCTACAGGAGTTTATATCATATCTGAATAAGAACAACTATGGGATCCGTCTGACTAGCACCTTTAGTGATACTTGCATTACTTTTTTAGATTTAGATATTTATATTCAGGATTCCAAGATTGTCACTAAAAATCACTTTAAACCTATAGATGCCAATAGTTATATTGAGAAAAACAGTTGCCATTATCCACCTTGGCTGAATAATGCTCCTAAAAGTCAATTTATAAGAATTAGACGTAATTGTAAATTAGATTCAGATTATGTAGAGCAGGCCAATTACATTAAAGGGCAATTTTTAGAAAAGGGATATGATGAAACCTCTCTAGACCAAGATCTTAATGAAGTTAGAAAACTCCAAAGAAAAAACCTTATTCAATACAAACCAAAAAACAAACTAAGAGACACAAGTGATATTCCTTTTATTTGTAATTTTAATGGACAAAACAAACGCATACAATATACTATAAAAAAGTATTGGCATTTACTCCAGGATGACCCAATTTTGAATAAAATTTTACCATTAAAGCCAAAAATTATATATAGAGGGGCAAAGAATTTTAAAAATATTTTAGTTAAAAATCATTTAAATCCTAAAAAGCCAAAACATTTTATTCAAGATTTAAAAGGATTTTATGGATGTGGCATGTGCCTCCCTTGCAAAGTTACCAAAAGCACTAAGCGACACCTACATAATATAGAGGATATTATTCATAAACCTTATACGATAAATGATCATTTAACTTGCCATACAAAGGGCATAATATACATACTAAAATGCCCATGTAATTTAATATATGTGGGAAGGACAATTAGACCACTAAAAGTCAGAATTGCCGAACATATTCGGAATATTAGAAATGGGGTAGAAACTCATAGCGTGTCATTACATTTTAAAGATATTCATGACCAGAATCCAGAAAATTTGTTTTTTTGTGCAATTAAGGAAGTTAAACGAGATTGGAGAGGGGGTAATTATATAAAGGTATTAGGTAAAGAGGAGATGCGTTTTATCTTTAATTTTCATACTCTTATCCCCCACGGTCTTAATTCAGATTTTGAGGTATGCCACTTTTAGATGTATATTTATATTAATGTATACATTCTGATTTTTATACGATTTACATTTTAGGATTTTCGTATTATATCCCAATTATATTTTATATTACACCATCTAGATTTTTAAGTTTTTTAGGGTATTTTATTTGTTTTATATTATTTTGTTTATAATCATATTGATGCTTTTTTGTGTTCAATATTACAGGCATTTATTTTTACTGCCTAATAAGCACTCAGCTTTTTACCATTCAATATTATGTATTATGTACCTACCATATATTATCCCTTCTATTAAGAAAATAGCTCCCCTCTTCAATTGTAAATTGATGTGCTGCAAATATATGAACTTTGCATATGAGTCCTATTATATATAAATACGATTGATACTTATGCGTTCCAGCAGTGGAACGCATGGCGCCAGTCCCGCCTACATCTATGTGGGATTATGATGTTTTGCGTTCCACTGTTGAAACGCAAACCGGAAGCGAAACCGGAAACCGGAAGCAATGTTATGAATATTGAAGACAGGAAACCGTCACCGAAAATGACGTCATTTGCGTTCCATCAGTGGAACGCAACCCGGAAACCGGAAGTGAAACAAGGACGCCGAAAATCAACTGATCTTCATGATTACTCTGCAATTTCAGTATATAAAGAACATTCTTTTCATACACCACAGCAACTGATGAAGCCTCTATTAGGGGTGAAACGCGTTTTGCATTTTGATTCAAAGACTCTTCATACTACCTATCTTCAAGTAGTAAGGTCTTGTTACTTTTATCTTTATTTATGTTTTTTAATTTGTGATATTTTCTGTGCACTTTACAATAAAGCATTTTTGGAAAAGACCACCTGTTCCTGAGAGGAATATTTTTAGATCACCAGCCGTAAAAAGAAGGCAGTGGGAACCTCATATCCCACAACACTGGAAAATTGAGCCATACTTTGTGGCTCTATACTTGTGAGTAATACTCCTCTAATTTTCATTATATTTTCTTCATATAACAGACAATACTGCACTATCATATGCCTTTATTTGTTCTGTTTTTTAGAGATACGGAATATTTATTATAATAAGAAGAAACTCCACCTTTTATTGTATGTATTTATATTAATATTTTATTTGCTCATCATCCTCATAACCTTACTATGGTAGTCCTGCCCAATACTCTAAGGGTCCCATTTCTTAACATAGTGATCTCTTTTTCCCTGGGTAGTCCAATGGTTTTCGTCTAGTTCCCTTAATGATTCCACTCTAAGAATCCATTGTTTTACAGTCGGGATGCTAGGTTTAAGCCAATACAACGGGATCAAAGCATTTGCCTCATTCAATAAAATCTGTTTGTTGTTCTCCTTAAAAGAAGCTGGCCAGCCCAGTAAGATGTTAAATGGAGATAATTGATCTGACATTGGTAGATACTTGGAGCCAATAGTTCCCAATAAGTTTGCACTCCCACCAAATATGTTCCATATTTGCTCCCTTCTCACCACATCTCCAACATTCATCCAATGCATACACACCATGTTTCTTAAGTCGATCTGGGGTATTGTACCATCTAGTAATTCTTTTAAAGAAGATCTTTAAAAGAACTCAAACTCTGTTTTATCTCTTGCCTGCCAGTATGGTAACACTTTTTGGTTTAATTATTATTTTTTTTTAAATAAACCATACCCAGTTTATCTATAAGTGTTGTCATATTATTGCCACTAGGAAACTCTCTTTGCCTAGTGGGTATATTAAACTTGTTACTGGAAGGTCTGCTTCTCCCGTTAATGTTCTCAGTATTTTTGTCAGGATTACAGAATGATCCAGCACGTAGAATTGTGTAACACAGAGGACTGATAGGCAACGTATACCGGACCTTAGAA